CTTCCAGTGTGTTTGAAATTTTAGTTTGTATTGCTCATCTGGCTCATTCCTACTACAAGTACTATCGTACTTACGAAAGGATAACTTTGTACATTTGTTGCTGATTTTGACTAGAATTTGGGGGTTCCTTGATGACTGCTAGGGGCAAACTTTACAATTAGAAACGGAAACAACATTTTATATGCAATTTTTAAAAACAATATATTTTACAGTTAATTTTCATTTCAGCTGGCAACAACAAATGCATCTAATTCTTTCACCAATATATATATATGTATTTAATTATCCCAATAAGATGATCTCAAATATTTTCAATCACCAGAAATCTTTAGCTTTAGAAGATAATGCTTGGATTAATCACAGTTTGCATCTAATACCGATAATTGTGGTTGGTGAGTAAAAACTAAAAAGTAAAAACCAAAGTAGCACGTACATAACAAAATTATCCGGTAAGTTACATAAAAGTAAAAACTGCAAGTTTTCAATAAGTTTATCTTTGTAATAACAGTGCCATCGATTGACACTTTGAGCTTTGAGTTGTTTGACCACAAAAATGAACATTTTAAATTAATCTGGAGAGATTGTTTGATTGAGAACAGCGCAATACTTTTGGTAAATAAATATAGTTTCTATTTAAACTTGAACTCATAGTAAGACATTACAAATAAAACTCATCGCTTAACAGTTATTTTGTTACAAAGTAATCAAAGAGCCAATTGGAATAATGATTCTTTGGACAAACTTCAAAATGAAAAATATTTATCAATTTAATTCGTTTAATTAATTACAATGATGTTTATTGTCACTTTTACGTAAAATATTTATACACGATGATCGTAATTATTTTTATTTGATTGTTAAAAATTTTGTATTTCTCTAAGATCATATTTTTGGTAACTTAATTGTTATTGTAATTATTTAAGTTCTTGACTTTGTTTTTTTAGTTAAGCGCAAAACTACACAACAGGCTTGATGTATTGTGCCAACCACTGGTATCGAAACCCGATTTTTAGCGTTATAAGCCCATAGACTTACTGTTAAGCCATTGGGGGGGTAACTTTAAAGTTTTCTTTCTAATTGATTGTTCAACATTGGAAGGTTTAAAAACAATATCCTTTTTTTATTATATTATCAATAACTAACAGAGTTTTATTTAAGGTCCATATGCAAGCCATATAGGTGAAATGAACTGAAAATATCGGAAAGTGCACTAGCATATAGGGATGGCACGGACCCCCGTATTAAAGCAATATAAAAATCATCTGGATTTTCTTCTCTGCAGTTCATCAGAAGCTAGATATGAAGAGCTACTTGCCATATTCGCTGTATCTCAGGTGTATATGCCGCTTTTCAGCTATACAGAGCGTCGTCCCAAGGTCGAAAACCGGCGAATAGCCAAAACCGAGATTTCTTATGTTCGTTCATCATCAGCTTTTTTCAACAGGCCTAGCGCCTGCCTAGTTCTAGTAATAACTATAATTTTATCATAATTCAATAGAGCAATACAGTTTCAGGATCTTTGACTATCTATTTTATTATTATTCTATGCAAAATTTATAAAGCCTTAGAATATACTCTAGTAACCCACGTACGCCATTTTATAAAAAAGTAAACAAACAAGTATCTGGAAAAATATTATCCCTAAATATAAAAGCTAAATAGGGGTGGCTACTGAGCTTGAAAAAAGGAACCAAACAAGATAGGGATGGAAGTGGACATATTAGTTGATTGGCTAATGATCACATAACACACTTAGCCGTCTCAACTTTAGATGGAGAATAACATCCTTACATTACTGGCTTTCTCACTGGCAAAACAAATAGAACTAGAATTTTTAGTCGTAAAATGTTACTCTATTGTAAGATAGTCATAAAAGTAGTATTTGAAAGTTAAATATAGGAAAAGTAAAAAGATTAAAGCTGAGATTATATTCAAACACCAAGCTCTAAATGGACAATGTGGGGAAGCCAGTAAGTAATGTAGAGAATTTATTTTCCACGCAAAGTCGAGACGGCTTTGTCTGCTATGAGATCAATAGCCGGATCAAGTGAAGTGTCCACTTAGCTCCCTATCTTGTTTGGTTCCTTTTCTTAAATTCAGTAGCCAGCCCTAGATAACTTTATTATTTAACGAGAAATGATTTCCCCCAATACTTGTAAAAATTAGGAGCAGATATAGATGCTTAAGCCCATGACTCTCAACATCTAATATTACAATTCAATGTCTGAGTCCTATGTCGAAATGCAGTCGATTTTAACAAAACAGAAAAACAAAGAACTTTAAAAATAATAATAATAATAAAAACAGGTTGTTGAAAATAGCTTACTGGGTATATTATAAGTAAAGCTTATCATGCGAAATTGGTATTTCATTTCATCTAATAGTCATACATGTGTATGAATGAACAGCATAATGATGTCTAGGATAAAGCACATTCATACTTAAAGAAAGAAAATTAGAGTTTATCATCCTAATTCCATTGTGTTAAAACTGAAGCTGGAAATGGAGATTCGTCATCAAGTGCCGTGTTTTGTAACGTAGGCGATCACGTCCCTCCATCTTTCCAGGTCCCAGACACTTGTGATTACAGTCCAGGATCTTCTCTCGCTCTCTACCTCTACTTCTTTTCTCCACATATTTTTCAGTTGTTACCAAGTGTTCCATCCATCATCACATGACCAAAGAATGCCGCTTGTCTTTTTTATATTATGTTATCAATGTTTTTTGTTTCTTCTTGTTGTAGAACTTTTTCACATGTTTTCCGGTCTTTGTAGAAATCCTTAAGCATTCTACGCAGGAACCATATTTTGGTCGCATTAAGTGATTTTTCCATTTGTTTGTTTATTCTCCATGATTAGCAACTGTACATCAAGATTGGTTCGATGTAGCAGCTAAGAACTCTTTTGCACACTTTCTTTGGTATACCTTTCTTATTCAATATATTTTTCACCTTCATAAATGCTGTCATAGCCTGTGCAATTGTGCTCTTGACCTCATTTTGATATGTGTCATCTGATGTAATCCATGCCCCTAAGTATTTGAACTTGTAGATTTGATTGAGAAGGGTCCCATTTAAGGTTAACTATGATAAAATGTGTATCCCATTCTCTATACAGGTATTCTTCTTGCGATAACTCTCTCACCAAAATATGTTTAACTAGGGCCCCTTCTAGTTTGTATCGTAGTTTTATACATATCTGTCTTTTGTGTACGATGCTTGTACTTTTAGTCTAGTTGTTTGGAATTATATGTTTATGTGTATTTATCTTAAACCTATTATATAGACATTAAGAGTAATAGTCAAAATACATATACTGAAGAGAACTCTGATAGCCGTCATTGTTTTCTGTGGCAAAGAGTAAAATCTGAATATTTCACTTCGGGGAACGTCTTTAACATTTGTTTTATCTAACATTGAAATATTAGTTTACTGCATTGTAATAAAATTCTGTATTACAGTATATGAACACATTATAACTTAATAATAAGTGACTGCACAATGTACCAGTCGTGCAGATGATCATATAATTCACGCTAGGGTATAAAACTGTAAGCCGATTCAATTACCGTACCTAGCTCGAGACTAGAACATTAACAGTAACATTTCAAAGCATTTATTCTAAGTTTCTACTGAGTTTGAAAGAAAAAAAACACATTCAACACTGTTATTCATTTATCTCGTTATGTATTACTTAGAATTATGGATATTTCTTCTATTTTTCATCCTTTATCTCAGTTAATTTCTTTCTTCTTCTGCATGGCTTATATTCACGGTACAATAATCCATGTTCAATGTCATGAAAGACCGAAACATAATATGAAGAGAAAAGTTTTAATAAGAACGACAAACAATTTATTTATTGGAGCTGGTGAGAGAAGACAGATAGCCACAGTTATATGTAGTCATTTGTATATTTTTTCCACGAAAATAAGTTCTAATCTAAGTTTCCCAAATAAAGATATCGAACGTGGTGAAACAGAGTGACCTTTATTCACATCTCCAGACTAAATTAAAATAATTAGGTTTTTCAACATAGGTCCTAATAGTGCCAGATTAGGCAAACAGGTCTTTACCATTAAAGGTTCCAAATATGTCTAATTCATCATCATATTCTCCTCCAATGTACAATATGCTCTAGGTCTTTTTAACTATAGATCCTAAGAATATCGAGTGAAGAAAAACAGTCATCTTTATCCTCGTTTTTAGGGCATAGAATAATCTAGGTTTTATCAAATAAAGGGTCTAAAATACCTAGTGAAACAAAGCCGTTATTTTCACCCTAACCTTCAGGGTACAGTATAAACTAGGTTTTCCCAACTAGAGGTCCTTCAAATACTGAATGAAGCAGACAATCGTCTCTATTCTTGTCTTCAAGTGCAGTATGATCTAGGTTTTCCCAAGTAGAGGTCCTAAGTATATTTAGTGAAGCGAGACAGTAGTTAATGGTTAGTTCTTCATTGTTTGCTTTAAAGGTGAGAGTGTAATAGTGTTCTGACAAGTTCAAATCTTACTGGAGTGTCACAGAATTTATAATCACAATCGAAGACCGAACCCAAAATTATAACATAATTAAGTTTACAATATTTCACAGTGGCTTCTTTATCAAGCAATACGACGATCTTAAGCGGTAAGTGGTAGGTTTACGAACTTCCAGTGCTAAAATGAGGCGTTCGATTTCCGTAGCTAGCCCATTGTATGATTTTGAGATTAAACAAACTTGAAAAAACAGAAACTAAAACTTAAGATACGTTTTAGACGTTCAATAAATCATGGTTTCTGAAATTAAAGCTCGTTTTTTTTTCATTGATGGTAATTATTTCCTGGATAATAAAGATATATATAAATAATAAACACATTCAATTTAAAATATACTACACTTTAATTGAAAACGTGGTTAACTTGAACTTCACTACTGGTTTTGTATTATAAGAACGAAATTGATTCGAAGTTGCATCTTAACTACATGTTATACGTGGTGCTTACTACTACTAGTGCATACCTAAAGCGTCCGGTAGATCAGAGTCTGGACTATGTTTCCCGTCGCTGTCTCTAGAAGATTGTCTAATCACTTTATCTGTAGGTTGCGCTAATACTGCAATTGGATCTGGGACAGGTGTCTGATGTGGTCGGGGACGAGGGCGAGGCATCAATGGTATTAAATCGGTTTTCTTTTCTCCAGGTTTTACTTCGTCCACCAACTTAACATCGTTTGTGACATTGTCAAAATGTTTGTAGTTTCCACTCGCGTTCAGCGCCAAGTCGGACTCGGATTCTTCCTGGAAAATTGACGGTGAAATTACATTGTGGCTATAAGCAAGAAGATGAAGCGAGAAAATGTGGCGAAAGTAAATGAATTAGAAAGACTGAAGTGCATGTAAAGGAAGAAAGAAGTCGAAGTTTGTAGGGGAGCAAAGTAAAAGGATATAAGATTAGCGAAGTAAAAGGATGAAATGGAAATGAAGTACCAACAAGAATAAAGTGAGACAAGAATAGGTATGAAACGAAGTAAATGTAAAAATGTAAAACGTGAGGTAATTGTATAGTGAATAAATATAAGAATATGGAAAGATAGAAATATAGATGAACTTAAAACTAGATAAGTATAAAGATATATTGAATGAAGGAAATATAATTACACATAAAGTGCGAGAAATAGAACGACTGTTGACATTGAAAGAAATAAAATGAGGAAATTAGATGCGAAGAATATTAGAGATTTAAAAAAAATGTGAATTGAGAAAGGTATGGAGGTATGAAGAATTAGAGAAATAAAGGAGTGTAAGGTAAGAAAAATATAGATGTCTATAAAGTATGTGAATTGAGATATCTATGAAGGTATGAAGAGTAAGAGAAGTAAAGTGTAAGTTAAGAGAAATATAGACGTCTATAAAGTGTATGAATTGAGAAAGGTATATAATGAGGAGAGTGGAAGGCTGTAGAGTGATAAAAGTAGAAGAATGCTTGAAAGGAGAGGTAGATTTAAGAAAGTGATTGCGTATGAATTGAGAGAAAGAAAAATAGAAATAGGAATGGTAAAATAATGTAGAACGATAGCAAATAAACAAATATTTCATACTAGTGTTTCCTGCGTGCTTTTCTTATTCCAGAAGAAGATGTCTAAGTGAGGATAGGACCCCACTTTGAAAAGCACGATTCTTATTATCATTTATGGCATTTCCTGATAGTCTTTGATTGAAAAGAAACGCTTGTTCAAACAATAAAACTTTTTTATAAAACTTATCCTTTGTTTTCTACTTACTTTGGACAGACAAAAGTAGAACGATACAGAGCGATGTGAGAGGAGAAGAATAAAATGGTTTAAACTGTCAAAAACAGATTGAAGACAACCGAGGGAGGAATAGAAGGTTGTGGTTGAGGAAATGAAAAGGTCTTTGGGCGAGTGACAGGAAGAGGATAGTATAAAGTGAAAATATAATAAGGCTATAAAGTGAGGAAAGTAGATGCAGAATGAGAAGTTGGAGGACATATTTCAGTGGATAGCTTTTATCTGCTACCCTTGGAATGAGAAATACCTAACTTGCAGTTTCTATACTACATAGGCATATAATTTTGACTTGTTAATTAGCAGTTCTTTATTTAAGTTATCATTTCTGACTTTGAAATGAATTTTTGCTTGCCTAGGTAATTACATTGTAAAATGTCACCCGGAGAATATTTTACGATCTGAATTACTACATAGAAACGATAGAGGGAACAGAGATCAGATGTATAATAAAGAGAGCAATAGTAAATGAAGAGTAAATATGCCAAGAAGATTAGGAAACAAAAAATGGGATGAGAAACATGATAAAATTTTTGATGAAGATGTAGAAAAAAAGATGTATAAGGAATGACAAAGATTAGATGAGGGACATTGTTGATGGCATATGAGAAAAATTAGGAGGGATGGCGAGTATTATGGTCCAGAAGAAGAAGCACGAGAAATGGCAAAGTATCATCGTTTAGAAGAAGAAGCACGAACTGTGACGAAGACTAGAAGAATGACGGATGATTGTGAATCTTGAGGGACACGAAACTGATGTCAATGTATAACAGCCTAGGTAAAAAAGCACTTTTGTTGTGCATGTTTCCGTTTGCAACTTGTCGAATGAAAACATCATGGGAAAAATAACAACTGTATTTTGTACATTAGCTCCAACGAACTAAATGTCGAAATAGAAAATGATATTTTTCTTCTGTTTATTAATTAAAAAGTTTGTAATAAATAAACATTGCAATATTATGGCCTCGCAAGTATAACGAAAATGTGCCTTTCTTTGTGTTGTTTTTAGTTTTGAAATAATAAGTATAATTGAAAATGACAGCTAGGAAAGGCACGAGATTAAGAGGCTGGGATTCACTAAGTCTCTTGCAGTTGCTATACAATGACTAAAAAACAGAATGCTAAGGATATATAGAACATAAACGGTTTTCACAAAACTTTTATAAAGGAATAAGAAGGCCAAATATGTTTCAATTATTTATTTTTTGTCATATTTAGCTAATCATATGAATATGTGTAAAGAAACAGAGATTAGTGAACTGACGTTTTTAAACACAATGGCGTGCATGTAAATCTTAAACTGAGGAATAATCAGTTCTGCTATGAATGTCTACTTACCATATTACTATAACCTTTCATATTAAAGTCCTCATTTTTTGTCAGATGTGCTATTTCTTCCTTACTTCCGGTCAGCCAAGATCGTAGCCACGTCCAACCACCGAGTAATCGGCACAATCCGTATATAATGGCGCACACAATGATACTAATACCAATTAGAGTGACAGCGACAGCCAAATCTTTCATAGTTTATATTTAGATAATCAACTATTTTATAAAAAAAAAAGCCTTAAGTAAGTATTAGATATTTGACACCATGGGGCTCTGGTCTTCAGGTGCTATCTGCGAAAGAAAATGGTTTCTTAATGAAAACATATTCACTCAATTTCCTTTTACAGTTATGAACTAGCAAAAAAAAAATAAAAAACAAAACCATAAAAATTTAAAATCAGAGAATTTAACTTAAAGGCTAGTAAAGAAATTATCAGAATTGTTTCGAGAGTCCTGATGAATGTCTTTTGACCGAAACATTGGCCACTTAGTTTTTTCCCTTACAGTGATCTTAGTTATTTCTTGTAGTTTTTAGATTTTGTCACAGTGTAACTGCGTTTGTATTGTTTGTAAATAATCATTAGTTTGTATGAGAGTCTGAACTGTATTAGGGTATTTACCATTTGATAATAGTGCTTTTAGATGTTCTGACAGAAAATGTTCATCTAAAGTTTAAATTCATATTGTAGATGATAAAAAGTAAATATTCTAGAGTTCGGCACTGAGTTATATCTCCCAACAGCTGTAGAATTACTGTCATGTGGTTCAACTAATATTTCTAGGATTATTTAACATATAATTATTTGTCGTTTATTTGTTCGATAAATACTGAATTATGTACCCATTAACAGATCTACATTGTGAATCAACTAACGGGACTATAATTTCTGAATAGTATGTTACTCAGTAACTTGTCTTCTGTAACTTTAATGATTACTGAATTGTGTCAGTCACAGTTTCTAGAGCTAATGAATTGTGCCACACATAGATTCTAGAGGTACTAATTTGTGGCAATCAGTTGTTCTGGAGTTATGGAATTGCATCAGTCATACGTTCTGTAATTATTGAGACCTGTGTCTTCTAAAAGTTTACCGTCTAGTTAACAGTTCGAAAGATAAGTTTTCAACAAACTTTTTGGCATTTATTTGTCTGATAGTTCGTTATTGAAAACAAATGTTTTCTATTTATGGAGCCCGGAAGGAGACTAGATGAAAATATTTATGTCGTGCGCACGAATTATATTTCAACTGTCTGGACTATAGTTTGCGAATGATATGTCAGCTAGCTCTTCTAGAGTTACTGAATTGTCTTCTGTTAATTTTATAATTACTGAATTGTGTCAGCTAACGGTTCCAAACATTCTGAATTGTATCAGTCATAGGTTCTAGATTTACTAATTTGTGACAGTCATCTGTTCTAGAGTTACTGAAATGTATCAGTCACAAGTTATGGAATTGCATACGTTCTGTAATTATTGATTCGTGTGTTTTCTAAAAGTTTAAATATTTCTGCATTTCATCCAGCTAACATTTCATAAGATAAGTTTTGAACAAACGTTTAGCATCTATTTATTTGATAGTTTATAATTTCATTCACTGTATTTGTCTGTTTAATTTTTAGCACAAAGCTACACAATGGGCTGTCTTTACTATGCCAACCATGGGTATTGAAACTCGGTTTTTATCGTTATAAGTCTTCAGACTTACCGCTGTGCCACTAGAAGGCTAGTCATTGCAAACAAAAGTTTTTTTTTTATTTACAGAGCCTAGAGGTGACGTAAGAAAAAATATTTATGTCGTGCGCATTTATTGTCTCGTTCCCACGACTTATACTACCTCGTGGGAACAAGACAGTAAGTATATCGTGCGCACAACATAAATATTTCCCCATCTCCTCTCCCGGGCTCTGTAGTTATTTGATCGTTTATTTGCTAACAGTCATGGAATAATATATTACCAGCAAATCGTCTTTAGTTTTGTTAATTATATATGTATATATATATATAAT